TCTGATGATCTGTTCGGTTTTTATTTATTCTGTTGTTTAAGATACATAATTTCTATTGACCCATCTTGAAGTTTGCTGACTCTTCTGCTGTTTCCAATCTATTGTTGAGTCTCTCTATGAATTTTTCATTTCCATTATTGTACATTATAATGCCAGAATTTCTATTTATTTCTTTTTTTAGAAATATTTGTTTCATCTACTGTAATTCTGTATTTGATGAGAACTGTCATATTTTCTCTCACTCAGGCATGGTGTCTTTGTCTACTCGGGCTGGGGTAACAAAACACTAGAATCAAGGTGGCTCAAATCATTATTCTTTTCTCACTATTCTGGAGGTTTGGAAGGTTATCATCAATGTGCCAGAGATGTGGTATGTGCTGCAAGCCCTCTCTGTGGTTGGCGGATGACTGGGATGTATATATTAGCAGAGGGATCTCCATCCTCACAACCTCATGGCCTAAAGCTGGGCCCCGTCTCCACATATCATAACGTTGGTGATGAGGGCTTCGGCATATGAACTGAACATTCCTATGTTCATTCACTCCATAACATATAGTTACTTTTATTTCATTGCACATATTTCTAATAGCCTCTTTGGAATTCCTGCTTGCTAAGCCTGACATTGGGACTCTCTCAAAGGCAGCTGTGTTTTTCTGCCTTTTGCTTCTTAGGTATGGAGAACACTCTTATTTCATGTCTCATGACTTTTTATTTTGGTTGAAAATTTGATATTGCACATAACATATTTTAACAATTCTAGACACAGATCCTCCCCAGCGCTTGCTGTTTGGTTCTTTTCTTAGTTTAGTGATGTGCTGGACTATTTTAATGAATTCTGCGTCCCCTGGAGGCACAAACTATTCCACACTGATCCAGTTAATCCAGACCCTCTGCCGGATGAGTCCATGGAATAGAACACCTGCACTAACTAGGAAGAGGATCACTTTAGGATCAGCTCTCCTTCAAGATCAGAACTGAGACATTTCCTTTTGTGCCAGAGATATTCTTCAAACTTACTGTTCACCAGAAAATAAAATTTTTTTTTGTTTGTTTTTCTGGTGATATGGAGGTTGAACCCAGGTCTTCATACATGGTAAGCAAGGATTCTACCACTGAGCAGCACCCTGAGTCTTTCAGAAAATAAAATCTTAAGTAGGGTGATATATATGTTGTTCCAAGAGAAAGAAGATGGAAATATTTTAAGCTTCACACACACACACACACACACACACACACACACACACACATCCATTTATAAATAAAGATGTTGAGAGGTGATCATTGTTGTGGAGTATTCTTTGTATTTCCTTAAAATACAAAGAATTCCCTGAAAATCTGGATTATGCTTACTAGGCTAAGAAAGTAATTATAACTTACCCTCTAGACACTGGAGGGCGGGCCATTTCTTATTCACCTATAACAGAGTGTCTATATGCAATATAATTTTAGGTTATGAAATGACATTCACATTTAACTTTGCCAATGTGTGCTGCAAGTTATTTGGAAGCCCACATGGTGACCATGATGAAGTGGTCACCCCTGACTAATGCCGACCATCAAACGTGAGGAGTGTTCAGTATCCCTATTAGAATGACATGATTTCTTACCACAGATAGACAGTAATTATAACTTCTCCAAGAGGAAACCCAAAAACTTATGAAGAAGGTGCCTTTTGGAAAATTTCCGTGACTTCTATGTAACTGATTCTTTTGAAAGGCAAACAATTTTTATAGCAATTAAAGCCTATTATAGAGCTAAACATAATGTGTGTGTGACAGCCAAGAAACACCTGAAGATACAAATTTAGCTTTGATGAATCAACATTCTAAGAGTTTCCATAGAAGTATTACAAACGTAAGTATATTTAAGAAGTCAGTTCAGCAACTTAATACCTTCTGCCTTCAAAAGACGAGTTGTACCTAAGCAGAAGCTGCCTGATACACCACCAAGTTCCTCTAAGAACAGAGTCACACATCTTACAGGAACGCATCTGTTTGGTGCTATTGATGACAAGTCAGTATTTAATGTTTAAATATGCAATTCCCCTCCTGGTTAATATATTTGTTTTCTATTTAAGGTAATTTAAAACTTATCCTTACATCACATCAAGTCATTGCAATGAACAACAAGGATGCCTGGATGATCTTAAAATCAGAACAACCCAAAGGTAGAGTTTGGAAGATCATTTGGAGCCTTGAACAGAAGACAGGAGTAACATAGAGATTTTTCCAAAGAAGGAATCCAGGGAGGATGGATATTCAATTGCACAGTCTCAGGTTTTCAAAATTGGTACCCTCCTAAATTCAGTAGAGGGATGGGGGTCTGAAATGACTCTATTTCTAATAATGGCAAATCTTACCCTGGCTTCCCGGTGTCAGATGCCAGAGGTGTCCCTCAGAGGCTGTGGGCCCCCCCCACTTTCTCTAAAGTCCCATCCCTGGCCTCACTCACCGTGGGAGCAGAAGGGGCCCTCGTAGGCGGAGGCCGAGCAGTCGCAAGCCACCCCTCTGAGCCGTTCTCGACATCTCCCCCCGTGGCGACACAAGTGTCCGTAGCTCCTGCAGTGTCCCGCACACCCTGGCTCCACTCCCGGTGTCACTGTGGCCCTTTCCTCCAGGTCCAGGGCCATCCCGTTCAGCCGCAGGGACCGAATGCACCCCAGGAAGCCCCTTTGCCTGCTGGCCGTCCCACCTACAAGGGAAACACTGCAAATAGAAATGTGCTCCTTGGTATTTTATCCAGGATTTTGTGTCCACGTCAAAGTCAGGCCTTAGGGAGAGTGGCAAAAATTGCAGATTGTCGAACATACCGTGAGTATATAAAATTTTAAAAAGATAAACTTGTATCAGATATCATGCAACCCCAAAAGACATCGGATAAAACTTCCTTCAACAACGTTTAGATGAGATTGGCAAATACTCGTTCTAAAACCATTTCTTTAATCTCACCAAATGTAGGTCACATCAACCCTATTTTGCTTATGTTTATCAACAGTGATGTCGATTAGAATGGTTCTGGATGGACTTCCAAAACATTTACAAGAATAAAAACAGATGTAGTTAAATTTTGTATGTGGATGATCGCCCCCTACTCCACCCACTCCTTTCTGAGGACCCAGTGGTAAGTCTTTACTGAATAATATGCACATGCACATTGGATCACATCAACCTTCAACACAAAAGAATCTGTTCGGAGAGGCTGGCAACACTTATGTCAGGATAGACACCGTTTCAAAGGTCATAATAACATATTATTAAGAGAGGATTCCAGAAATTACCTGTAAAATGTGGGCTCCACCCAGATACTCTGATTCAGTGGACCTTCAGTGGGGATCCCAATTCTGAATCTTTTCTTTTTCTTTTTTGTTTTCTATTTAAAGGTAATTTAAAACTTACCCAGGGGCTCTTTACCTCTGAGCTACATCCCTAGACCTTTTATTTTATTTTATATTTTGAGACAAGCTGGGTGTCACTAAGTTACTAAGAGTCTTGCTAAGTTGCTGGTCTTGAACGTGTGATCCTCCTGCCCTGGCCTCCAGAGTCACTGGGATTATAGGTGTGCATCACCACACCTGACCCAAATCTGAATTTTTAACCAGCTTCATGGGTGACTGATGATTTCTCCACCACTGTTTTATAGAACTTGCCTTAATAGGAATGTTTATTCTAGGCAAATATTTACGTTGATTTTGTTCCTAGGATTTCCCTTAAATAATCCTCAAAATTGTAAGTAAGAAAATAAAGTTCTTAACTTGACTCCTGCTAAGTTTGTATCTGGAAAATACCCCAAGGGCCCATGTGGCAAAGGCTTGGTCCTCAGCTTGCCACCTGGGGCTCCTTGGGAGGTTTTAAGTCCTTAGGGGTGTGCCCTTAAAAAGGATTGCAGGACCCTCAACTCTTCCTCTTTCACTTTTGCTTCCTGACCTTGAACTGAACATTTAGCTCTGCCCCCAGCTCACTAGCCCCACCAGAGGCCCCAAAACAATGGGACCACCTGGTCATGAGTCAAAACCTCAAAAACTAAGGGTCCAAATAACCCTTTTTTCCTTATAAGTTGCTTAATTTGGGTAGCTGTTACAGTAACGAAAAGCTGACTCATGCAGTGATGTCAGGTACTTTTGTGGTTTCAAGTCCTTCAAAGAAGATTCATCTTGCCCTAATGAAAAAACCACCCATGTTGGAAGTTTTATTTTATGGAGTCATAGTACATAAACTCCTGCATGTGTGAAAGTCTCACACACACACACACACACACACACACGCATGGAGATTTACACACATTAGCCTTCAGCGGTATAGTGCTTAGTACCTAGAAGCTGTTTGAAACTTCCTGTAAAGTAGGCTGTGAGATAATTTCTGATTTAGTCCAATTTCTAATTGGAGCTGTGTCCTTATTTGCTTCATGGTGCATAAGAAATAAACCAGTGAGCAGGACTACCTCAGTGTGCTTGGTTTTTACATTAGAATGGAATTGATTGGAAAGGAATATGGCAAAGTTAATTTTTGCCCTTGGGGAAAATAAACAATGATAAAACCATCTATGGGCAGGCTAAAGGAAAGACGTCCATCCCCCAGGGCTGACCTCTCTGTACAAACGCACTGCAGGATTAAAGGAGCAAACCTGTGGTCAGTTTTTAAGCAGACAGTGGATGACTTTTGTCCACGGATAAGATAAACTTCCTACTGGAAGTGAAAAGGGAAGAAGTGGGTACAAGTGGCTCATGGTCACACAGGTATTGATCAGACCTAGTGGTCACAAACGCCAACCGTCTGTAACGCGAGCTGTTCAAGCCTGGGCCTCAGAGCCCTCGTGGCGGGATTCCCTTCACTGGTTGTTACCTGACCTCTTTCAGATGCGATGATCTCACCTGGAAACAGGTGACGATAAAACCTACAAAATGAGTTACCTAATAAGAAGCCCAGCACGCTCCCGAACCTACGAGGTGATCAATAAATAGCGCCAACGGTTAGCTGCTGCTTGCATTTGCCACTAAAAGTACTCCCACCATTGCGACTGTCTGCTGGCGCCCTCTGCGGTCCCACCAAGGTCAGCGGTGGCCACGGGACTCACCAATGAAGAGCTGGCTGTTGAGCTGCAGGCGCACGTGGCCGTCTGCAGGGGCCGGCTGCGTCCTCCTGGGGAGCTGGTCCACCTGCAGGAAGGCTCCCTTGACATTCCTCTCTGCCCTCACGTGGTGCCACCGATTGTCATTAAAGGGAGTGGGTGACCGCACCGTGACCTCACAAGGTCCATTCCCCACATCAAAGGAAAAGGTCACTTCTGTGGGAGCTAAAAATATCATATATGAATATGGCCCAAGTTCATTCCCAGGGGAGTCTTGAGTGGAGTCAGGGAAACATCATGGCGTGCTCTTTACAAAAGGGGACAAAGGTGTCGATGCAGACACATGACTCGGGTTGGGGAAGGGGGCAGGAGAAATTTGTATCCTGGTGGATAAAAACAAAACCACACTGATTTTAACATATACACTTTGAGTTGAATACGTAACGCACTCAGTTCTACTCAGTAGATCTGTAGCCCTAGAGACAATAAGAAACACACTTGGTTTTGTATCTATAAGTAGTTTTACTCAAAAGTGTTTCAAAGTCTCCTCTAATTTTAAAACAAAAAAATGCAATTTTTTACAGTCATAAATTAAGCTCTGAGTACATGAAAAAAAATATTTGTCTGATCAAATATTTTAGGAAACAATTTTGTGAGTTTGGTTTAAAGTTCTGACTCTAGTTGGCAATGGTCCAGGGAAGGGGAAACAATTTTTGGATTATTGTGTACTTTATGCTTCATGGTTTGACCCTTAAAAAGATTGACTAAAATTATAGAACTTTTGTGGTTAAAAAATAAATATGATTATAAGGTAAGAATGACACCATTTAAATTTTTGTTTAGTCAGTTTTCAATGCCAAGTAATGGGCATCCTGTGACTTGTCCTGGGGGGTGTGGGGGGTCACTCACTCTGCAGCTCTATCCTGATGAAGTCCGTGATGCCCAGGTTCTCCATAAACACACCAGAGAAAACCGTGGTCTTAAAAAAGAACTGCACATCGGCAGTGAGTTCTCCATGGAAAGTGGGGAAATGAAGGTATGAGGTCTCAGTGTTGAAGGAAGCCGAATTCCAAAATGACTCTGTTTATGCCAAAAAAAAAAAAGGAAAAAAAAGAAAAACTCATGAATCATTTTTACCGCAATTTCTAGAAGCCTTCCCTGCCTCACTGGGTGTTCTCATTCATGCCGTATCATCAGGACATCGCATTCGGCGATTATTTTAAGGGTTAGAATTCTGTGTTGAGAAAAGACGGAGGGTAAGCAAAGCAAAAGTGTGACTGATTGTCACACCAACAATGTGGGCAAGAGATGAGGGAGAAGGTGCCCAGGGAGGTGGACAGACAGGGGTAGGTTGCAGGATCATTTTCAAGTTCAAGTCAACAGAATTCACTGCTAAATTGGATGCAAGTGGAAGAGAGTCTGAGATGACACCAAGGGTTTGGGGAATAATTTTGAAGAAGCAAGTTTGACAGGGATACATTACATTTGAAATCTCTATTCAGCACCAGATGGATTTTTGGAGGCAGCAGTTGGTCTATGACTCAGGAAGCCAGATCATAGAATCTTGCTTTCCATATTTTTTGCAAACTAACAATCAACAAATACAACCCAACATCCTAGTAATGCCCTTCATAGCAAAAACAAAAATCAGAACAAAACAAAAAACTCCTTTTTTCCCCTTCTGGTCCAGAATTTAATCCAGGACCACACTTCATATTTATTTCTTAAGCCTCTCTAGTGCCCTTCATTCTAGACTTTTCTTGTCTTTCATGAATATGACTGCTATGGTTTAGACATGAGTCAATCCCCAAAATCTCATGGATGAGACAATGCAAGAATTTTCAGAGGTGAAATGATTGGGTTATGAGAGACTTTAGCTAATCAGTGGATTAATCCATCCATATGGATTAACTGGGTAATCATGAGCTGGTTGGGTGTGTCTCAAAGAGGTAGATCGCTGGGGGCGTGGCTTTGGGGTTGATATTTTGTCCCTGGGAAGCAGGGCCTTCTCTCTACTTTCTGATCCCCATGTCCTGACCTTCTTTCCTTCTCCACGCCTTTCCACCATATTGTTCCACTTCATCTCAGACCCAGAGCAATGAAGTGAGCTGTCTGTGGACTGAGACCTCTGAAATGAGCCACAATAAACTTTTCCTCCTCTACATTGTTCTTGTCAGGTCTTTTGATCACAGTGATGCAAAGCTGACTAAAACAATAGCCTCTTATTTTTTTCATATTTTTGGAGCATTTTTCAGTCAATTTGTAAAATGTTTCTCAATTTGGATGTATCTGACACTTGTCATTAGATTAGTCTTGTGCATTTTGTCAAAAACAGCATAGAAAAATGAAAGGAGTAAAGAAAGAGCCTTCAGAATGGGAGAAAACCTGCCAGTTACTCTTCTGTGAGGAGGTTACTAGCTAGGATACATAAAGATCTCAAAAAACTCCCAAAATATAACCCACTCAATAAATGGATAAAAAAAATCTAGACATTTCTCAAAAGAAGAAATATAAATGGCCAACAAATGTATGAGAAAAAATGTTCAACATCCTTAGCAATCAGAGAAATGCAAACCAAAACTACACTGAAATTTTATCTCACCACAGTTAGAATGACACTCATCAAGAATGCAAATAATGATAGCTGCTGGTGAGAACATGTAGGAAAAAGGTATATTCATATCATTGGTAGGTCTGCAAATCAGTACGACCAATTTGGAAAGAAGTATGGAAATTCTTCAAAAGATAGGAATGGAACCATCGTATGACCCAGCTATCCTACTCATTGATATTTATCCCAAAGAACTAAAATCAGCACACTATAGTGACACATGCCTACCATGTTCAGAGCAGCCCAATTCACAAGAGTCAAGCTATGAATCAGCCTGGGTGCCCATCAATAGACAAACGGATAAAGAAAATATTATACATGAATATATGAATGTACGTATATATTCACAATGGGGTTCTACTCAGCCATAGAAAGAATGAAATCATGTCATTTGATGGCAAATGAATGAAATGGAGAACATCTTGCAAAGTGGAATAATTCAGGCTCAGAAAGTCAGAGGTCAAACGTTTTCTCTCAAATACAGAAATTAGAGATAAAAAGGGAATAAAAATGGGGATCTTATTAAAATAGAAGGGAGACAAGAAGAGGACAGGCAGGGGAAAGGGGGGGAATTGGAGATGACTTTGGTCAAATTATGCTGTGTATGTGAATGAATATATTGCAGTTAATTCCATTCACATATAATTACAACTCATGATTAAAAAACAATAAATAAGCACAAAGACCAATGAAGTAGAGGTAGGGGATCAAGGGGAGGGAGGAGGGGAGGTAAAGGAGAAGCACGAGGGATGGAAATGGATCCAGTTAAGTTATATGCATTAATGAATGCCAACATGAACGTCACTATGATGTAAAGCTGTAGTGCATTAATAAGAACCTTTTTCTTCAAAAGCAGAGAAGTGATGCTCTGTCCTTGGCAGTGTATCACATAAGGACTTGCACTGTGCTGATGTGTCCCCCTACTTGCCATGTTAACTTTAATTGCCTTCTGCTATGCTATCTGTCATTGCTCCCATATAAAACTAATATTTTTCTCTTTGTGATTTGAAACTATTTGGACATCTAATGGCCTTTACATAACCTGGTCCACTTTTCCATCCAGTGGTTTCATAGCGGATTGATGGTCCTTGAATTATGATGATACTGGTGATTTTCCATCATTCCTTGACGGGGTGCTAGTCCTCTGTTAGGAAGGGCTTGTTTCTGGACCTCCTATTTAGTTTTTTTATCCATTTCAAATTTATAGCAGCATCACTCCCTGGATCTCTATTGTTGTAAATTGTTTCTAATCTACTACTGTAACTGATTTAAAGGGTTACATTGTCCCAAATCAGGTCAGAGGGAGCTTTCCCAAGACCCTTTGACAAAAGCGGTTGATGGGACACAGTGCAATTTTTTGAGCAATTTATATATATATATATATATATATCAGGACGATCTAGGCTTATCCTCTTTCTTTTCATGGAGAAGGATAGAAATGACATTCAGAAGTGAAGATATTAAGTCACATGCTTATATCTCTTTGCTACTAAGGTGCCATGACTTCAAGGCCCTCTCAGTAGTCAGCTGCAGGAACAGGTGTATGGGCACATGCACTACAGCACACACACACACAAACACATCTTTTTGTGTATTTCATATTATCTAC